CATCCTCATCTAATGCCTGGTGTACTTTTTCCTCTTCACTCTTCCAAGCTTCTTGCCCAGTTAATTTGACTGAAACGCTTGTTTTTCTCACTGCTTCTAGCAGCCGAGAAAATTGACTGTTGTCAATATTCTCCAAATAAATTCTATAATATGCCACAATATTTCTGATGCAAATTTCAGCAAGCCTCTCCTCATCTTTCTCATCATAGCAATCCAATGCTAGGTCCCGAAACTTGTGTACAAAGTCCACGAGATCCTGTCCGTGTTTTTGGCGAGTGTTGTTGAGCTAAGTGGTAGTAACTCTTTCCTCATGCTGGAAATATTTTTACAGAACCTGCTTGCCAAATCCTCCCAAGAGCAGACAAAGCCTGGTGCCAAAGTTGTATATCATGTCATGGTCGGTATGGCTTTCAAAAATTCTCGAAGCCAGAGATTATAATCACCATCATGTGGTCCCAAGGCATTGATGAAACGGTTGACGTGCTCCTTCGGGCTCCCTTTCCTTCCGTCGAAAAGGACCACACTTGGTGCTTCGCAGCCTTTAGGATATGGCCGCTGGAGTAAGCTTGATGGATACGACGGCTGAGGAACATACTTTCAATCATCTTGGCTTTGACTTAGTTTCTTCTCCAGCATGGTAATGACATCTTCGTGAGTGACAAAAGATGGCTTCTTTTGTTCAGAACCCTTTCCGGCAGCAGCAGATTCCAAGTTCTCATTTTTATAGTGACTGTGCTGCCTGAAAAGCTTGATCTTATGATATCTGGTTTGGTTTGCTTGAAATGATTGCATCAAGTGTAATGCTTGAGTCGCATGATTTTGGAGATGGATTGTTTCTTCTTGCCACGATTCCTCTTAAGACCACCTCATATGGCACAATTTTGTTGTTGGCTTGGCTTAGTGCCACTGAGCGTGTTGAGATGCTGATCTGTACAGGAACATAAGGTCCCATGCTCCTTGAGGCTTAAGGTGTAGAGGAATGTACTCATCGTCTTTAGAAGAACAGAGTGCCTGACAGATATATAATTTCTGCATGACCAAAACAGATGGTGGTTAAAATAATAAATGTGTTGCAACTTGTGAAAATAATTAATATTTGTCGATTTTAAATGGACGCCATCCAACAGCATTAACTAACGAATGAATCATACATCAATATTAAAACCAACATAGGTAGCTTTTAGTAATATGCAAGCATGTGATGCTTTGGCAAGTATTAAAGCATGTGATGATTCTCGTGCTTTTGGTAGTGTGTAAATGCCTAGTGTTTGTATTCCTTTCAAAGTGAAAGACAAGAAATAAAGGAAACTGAATAGTCCAACTTCATTCTGTTGGTATTGGCCTAAAACATGATTTATATATATATATGTATATATATATAAAAGAAAGAAAATTTATCAGTACATGTTTAAATTTGAATAAATGACATGCTCGTGCTGCTTTTACAAGTATGGCGTATGACATGATAATATATATTGTATTGTGAAATCTAAAAAGGTAGGAAAGGAAAATAAAATATTTTCTTATCTTTGGCCTCTAATAGAGAGCATGTGGATTGTGGAACCGACATTGGCATAGAAAGTCAGGGCATCTTGTGGGCAGTGCCAAAGATGGAGGCGATGCAAGCAGTGTTCCAGAGAGGACTTGTTCAATTTTTAGTTGAAGCACATGCGTAGTTTTGTGCAAGATATGGCTATATTGTTCTAGAGTTAGTCAAGTCTCCTCTATTGGCCAGAGAAGATGACCTCTCCATATCATATGCTTGGCTTGTGTTTGGCTTCTTCTTTGTTTTGAAAAAATTTGTTTGGCACAAAGCCCCCAAGTATTTTGGGGTTTGCATGTGTAGTTTGCTCAAAGGCATGAATGATGGATTTGCCAAAGCCCCCAGCCCTCTTACAAGATTTTCTTTTGCTTGAGAATGGAGATCTAAGGCACAAACAAAGGGAGCATGTGAGCAATCTATATCATGTTTGTTTTGCAAAGTAGATAGCCAACAAAAGGAAAAAAGAAAAGAAAAGAGGGAATATTCTTATCTCTTTATTTTCTCTGGTTTATTGCTTCTTGCCTTCTTCCTTGGAGGCATTGGTGAAGATAACAGCCTGATCCCCAGTGAAGTCGCCAATTTATGTAGGGATTTTTTCTTCCGGCAGCTGCAAATAGGGTGGGCCGCCATAAAAGGGAAATTGCTGAAGTTGCCCCTGTGTCTGAGTTTGAAAATCAAGCCCCAAAAGCGCTTCGAAAGGGTAGTAGAGCCTTAGAAAGCGTTCTAGTTACCTTTACAAAGGAAAATAATGGCTGCTTACAGATGATTTCTTGATGCTTACAGATAAATTTTCTAGCTTGGCATGAGAGGCTTGTGGCATGGAAGCAAAATCAGCATGAATTTAGCACCAAAGAGGAAAATACGGCTTCCTAGGGAGAAATGAGAGTGTTTAAGGTAAGGAAGAAGAGGTTTGCAAGCTGATTTGGCTAAGAATATAGAAAGAAAGAACCATGTTCTTTCGGCAGCTTGTCATATGTGCAAGTAGTCTGTCAGGAGAAGAAAATGGAGAAGGATGGTGAATAGTGCACGAGATTGCTGGGTTTTTGCAGGTAAGAGAGGAAGCTTGTTCTCTGAATCTTTTTTTTTTTTTTTTTTTTTTTGTTTGTTAGGTAGGAGATGCCTCATTTTATAGCCGCTGGAAACCATCACTTCCCAAGCAACGCTAATGGCTTATACCCATTTTGGCCAAGCTTTTCTCCTCATTTCTCATCTCATTCCTTGACTTTTTCCGCAGCTCAAGGCCCCCTTTTCCCGCAGTTGTCTCAATGAGAGACTTCCATTCCCAGCCATCTCTTTTATTGCTTTCCTTTCCTTTTTTCATGGCCAAATCTGATGGGGAAAGGAGTTGGGATATATATATGCTGGTTCGAAGGGTGCTTATGGCAGCTCGTAGGCTAATATTCCTTGGTTCCTTAAATGTTTCTTGCCTGGAATTTGCTCCTCCCATGTGCTGGAACCTCAAGCAGCTTTGTTCAATGAACCCTCTAACCCTCTCTTTGTGACTTTTATTTTTTTAGCAAGGGCTGAGGTTTTTTGTGGCTTATTGTGAAGTTTTGCATGGGCCAAGGTGGTTCATTAAATAAGTGGGCTATTTTGTCAAACATTGGGCTTTGAGTCAATAGGCTATTTGGGGCTATTTGGGCTATTTCTTTTCCCTTGTGCTCACCCACATGTTTGGGCCTAACAAATAGGCTTAAGTCCCGAGACTCCTAAGCGACCCGAAACTTCTCATTTCTCGGCCCATCAATGGGCTTCATGTTGATTTATTACCATCCATGCCACAACCTTCTCAAGCAAGCCCCTGGCGTTTGAGTGGCTTGGGCCCACTTAGGCTTGTTGGATGGTTGGGCGTGAGATAACAATTTCGTGCTTGGCATGACATGTCGCTTGGCATGTTTTAATTTATAGTCCTTGGAAAGAACTGTGATGTTTAATTTTGGCATGGGCTTGTAAAGCCAGTATATTTTATCTCGACTCCTAGCATACTAAATTATTTATTTAGTGTGGCACGTGAACTGTGACTCGTGCATGGCGGACTTTCGAGTGCTCCAAATCAGGTCTTTTCTCAATAATATATCGTTTTGGGCCGAAAATATATTCTGGTCCAACCGTGGATTTTTTGGACCTCAACAATTTCAAAATGGAATTTGGGTCAGATACAGTCACAAATGGCCAATACAAACTAGCCACAAAGAACTATTATAATAAAAGAGTGATCTAATATCAAAATTAAGACAATTTGGTGCATCTCCATTAACGATCACATAGGATCCAAAAAACTCTGGCATAGGCATCCCGACTAAGATTGCAAACTTAGAATAATCAAAAAGAGATAAAGTTTGAAAAAACTAAGCCATAACAATACAAATAAAAATCTCACAAAGGAGATGTGAAAAACTCTCACAAAATGAGATGTGAAAACTACACAGAGAACCCAAAGAGTCTCTGTAACTTATTCCAAACATAAAAAAACTACAAAATGGATGGTGGTGGAGATTTAACACCGAAACGCAGGTGCAGATTCGACGTTGAGAAGCAGCCACCTGTGATGGTTAGAGAAAAATCATAAATAAAATAAAAAAGAAGACATATAGAGAAAATCTTATGTCTCTGAAAATGGGGAAGAGCAGAAAGTAGGAAGAGAAGAGGGGAGAGGGGAAAGGGGAAGAATAATAGTGGCTTCCTTCCTCCTTAAAGTGAAAATGACTCTAGGAGTATTTGATGGAGAGAGAGGGACTAGAGTTTCTCGTCGACAAGCCCTTCAAGTGGGAAATTTTGCATGCCAAGTTAAACAATCTCATCAATTCAAGGTTCTTGGCTCTAAACGTTTATGGCATATCCCTTTTTTGTTTTTTTTGATACAATGTTGGCACCCTTTGAATGATTATTTGAACGTAAAGTTAATAAGGGGAACTAAACTTACCGAACAATATATGGCAGCGAGAAGTATGTTTTTCTCTATAATCTACTATGATGACAGCCAAAACAGATCTTTCATCTGGTTAGAAGCAAATTCAAATTACTTAATCATGCTTCTAGCATGGAATATTTCTCCTGTCAAACCCTTTTTATTTCAATTAAATTTCAAGTTTTCAACTAATAAAAATAAGAAATAATTAATATATACTTTATTTACTACCATGTGCATGTGTAAGCCTTTCATTTTCAAAACGAAGAGACATTGACTTGGTGAAAAGGGGGGAAATTTAAGGAAAACAAAAAGTCCCAAGGTTTGATATTCTTTGTGTTGTGCGGATAATTCTGAAAACCACACAGATATATTTTACTCTTTTATTTTCCATGCATGGTCTTCTGTACAAGAAAGAACATTTCAAAAGGCGTGGGATTGGTTCCCCAGACTTCCCGCCATATGTTAAAAATAGAGGCTTAATTAGCTGCATGCATGCATGCCTTATTTAAGCGAGTCTTATCTTATATTATGAGACACCCCCCTCCTCTCCCCAAGACAAAGCAATTGATGAGCCGGTGATTCTCTAGTGCCCGATTCAATCTGTTGCCTTGGCTTGGCTGGGTCTCGATCTATCGAGAGCAACCTGGGCCTCGCTCAAGTACAGTTTGCTCGTTGCAAGGGGTGGGGGACTGCAAAACAAGAAAATAATAGGGAAGATTAGATCATCAAACCAGTAGTTAATCTCACTGCGGGTGCATGAGATAACAATGGCAACAATTAACAAATCGTATTTCTTTCTCTGCTTCTTTTTCTTGTCCTTTGCTCTAGTTATTGCCAGCGGAACTCATCAACAGGAAGTACAGTTAGATGCCTACTGGAAACAACGAGCCGAAGAAGCCGAAAAAGTGGCCATGCAATCTTTTCAAACAGATCCTGAGCTAGTCACCGAGGAGTTCAATTCTAATGTTGGCGAGTAGGTCTAATTATCTTGTAAATCTAGATCATTAATTGGTCAACACTTAACACTTGCTTGATTATGTGGTACATACATATTTGTACATATATTTTTATATGAATTAATGCATGTGAATGCATGTTTTTGTTACCGCTGACATTAGATAGATGCATATATGCAGGCTTTTGATGAAGCTAAATGGCACAAGAAGGAACTTGAGGGGCGTCAAGAAGTACAATGGTCCATGCATGGCCACCAACCCAATTGATGCATGCTGGAGGTGTGACAAAAACTGGGCCAAGAACCGCAAGAGGCTCGCCAACTGCGTCCAAGGCTTCGGCAGAAAGACCACCGGCGGCAAGGGCGGCCCTATTTATGTGGTGACTGACCCCTCTGACTTGGACTTGGTAAACCCTAAACCTGGAACCCTGCGTCACGCAGTGATTCAGAAAGGGCCTCTTTGGATCATCTTTGCACGCAGCATGGTGATTAGGCTGCAGCAAGAGCTGATTGTGACTAGTGACAAGACCATTGATGGTAGGGGAGCCAACGTTAACATACACGACGGCGCTGGCATTACCCTCCAGTTTGTGAAGAATGTGATCATCACCAACCTTCACATCAAAAGAATTGTGCCGAAAGGAGGTGGCATGATCAGAGACTCCGTCGACCATTTGGGCCAGAGGACCAGGAGTGATGGCGATGGCATCTCCATCTTTGGCTCCTCCAACGTTTGGATTGACCACGTTTCCATGGAAAATTGCGCAGATGGGCTCATAGACGCTATCATGGGTTCCACAGCTATCACCATCTCCAACTCCCACTTCACTCACCACAATGACGTACGTACTGTACTTAATTTATTTATTAAGCTCAACCAACTAAATACAGAGGTTTGGAATCCATTATAATAATGTCACATGCATGTATGGATGCAGGTGATGTTGTTCGGTGCCAGCAACAGCTACACTCAAGACAAGATCATGCAAATCACGGTAGCCTTCAACCACTTTGGTCAGGGATTGGTGCAGAGGATGCCAAGGTGCCGGCACGGATTCTTCCATGTGGTGAACAACGACTACACCCACTGGCTCATGTATGCCATCGGCGGCAGCATGAACCCTACCATTATCAGCCAGGGTAACAGGTTCATTGCTCCTCCAAATCAAGGCGCCAAAGAGGTAACTAATATTTTCTATTAAATTAATATTACTTAAGTACTACAATTTTATCTATTTTAAAAGATGAGTTTAGCGAAGTAGTCGATAAATATGATTCAATTAGCAACGAGATTATATATATGTGCCATTGTTGAATTCTGAATTCCAAATTATATAGGTGACCAAGAGGGACCACACACCAGAGGCAGAGTGGAAGAAATGGGAATGGAGATCAGAGGGAGATTTGATGATGAATGGAGCAATCTTTGTTCAATCTGGATCCGGAAAGAGCAATCACCCAGCAAAGATGGATTTGATGCCCTTCAAGCCGGGAACCTATGTCGCAGAGCTCACAAAGTTTGCCGGTGCTCTTGACTGCTTTGTTGGCAAACCTTGCTAGGCATTTTTCCCCTTTTTTTCTGCCACCATGGACTTGTTTTTTTGTTTGCAAACTCAAATAGTACAAAACGGCCCAATCCGTATGTATTTGTAATTGAGGGTAGAAGAAGATTACTTAGGCCGTGTGTGCGTGAGGGTGGAAATCAAATGTTGCCAATGTTTTTGCTGTCCTTGTTACATTACATGTCCCTATTTTTCTCAATTACTTTCTTCTTCTTTTTTGGGTTGTTTGGGAAAAATGGATTTAAAGAAGGAAAAAAAAATAAAGGGACGAAGGTTTAATAATGATGCAAAACAAAAAGGGAGAGGATGCAAATGTGTATGCTCTATTACACTCGAGCACAAATCATCTTTTCAAAATAGTTCAGAATATCGCTATTGTAAAAATAAAAAAAATATTAAAAAAAAAAAGAAGAAGAAGAGGATTGATTAAGAAGTGTTAACATTTAATGAAGATCAAGAATGACGAATTAATCTTAAAGGTGCCAATTAATTAACATGAGTCTGGAAGCATCAGAAGGTTCGAACCCATGTATAGGGATTAACGTGGTGCATGGAAAGCAACTCCACACATTTTAATCACCTACAAATCTACCAATAGGAAATGGACACGTTTGCCATTCATACAAGTGGACATATCAAACAAATTCAAGTCTTAAATATTGGACGGTAAAACCGAAGGTAAAAGCAGAACAACACAAAAATTGCATATCATCTGTTGTCGTATAGCCACACAAACGACAGGTTCCTTATCCCAGAAAACAAAACATAAGGCATTTGGGATATTATTTCATCTCGTAGAAGCCAAATTCAACTTGTCTTGTGTGCTGCTTGTCCACTATGATCGGCCAAAATTACCAGTATCTGTTCCCTTTTCTTTTTTTTTTTAATTGAAGAAAAAAAAAAGATTTGGGATTTAAGAAAAACAACCAATAAAGGCAAAAGATTTAACATGAATTAATATATATTTTGTCACACAAATCGAATTTGACATGGTCAGCCTCAGCCTTAGCGTCTTCTCTTGAATGGCCTGAATGTTTTAATATGTCAAATTAATTTGTGCGCCTAGATTATGACGAAGAGTTACCAATGAAATTAATCTTCTATCCGGAAAAAAAAATACAAATTTATAAATAAACCCAATCCTGGACATGTATTTATAAAAAAATCCAAGCACTATTTAAACATAGAAACACACCCAAAATCAACCCCAAAGTCAACTTTTTGGGTGTGTTTATATGTTTAAATAGTGCTTGGGTTTTTTTATAATTTCAACCCCCATTTTGGGTGTTTTAGTGAAACTCCCAAAAAAAAAAAAAGGGACGGTGAAAGTGTCAATTCTGCCTAAACCAGTACATGGATGATGGAGTTAAAGAAAGAATTTTAGTGATGCTCTAATCAGACCCTGAAGTCGGCCAGAGTTCCGGCTAGCATGCAGACACTCATATTTGTCTCAAATGGCACCGAACTCATCGAAACTCAGAAACAAACTAAGCATAAAACAAGTAATGGAACATGTATATAAGCACTTGCATTCAGTTTTCCAACAGCAAACCACTTGAAACCAATTGTCTTTTGTTGTTTGGTATTGACATAGGAAAAGATAGAGATATGGATCATCTGACTAGTGTAAAATCTGAACTGAGCCAAGGAAGGCGTCCATTGTGCCTTATAGAAGTTGATGCTTTGGTTAACAAGTGTGTCAAGAGACGGCGCAGAGATTCGTCTGCTGTTGTTGCACCTGCAGGCTGCAGTGATCAACAGCAAGGTGATCAAGGACCACAACAGCAGGCGCAGCAGGCTGGTCAATCTACCGTTGCTACTACTACAACTGTGAAGAGAAGTTCCAGATTTCGCGGAGTCAGCAGGTCTGATATCTTGTGTTCATGTTGACAATTTGCTTTTTTTTAGGTTTTGTTAAAATGTTTAAGCTTAATTTTGAGCAATTATATATGCAGGCATCGATGGACAGGAAGATATGAAGCTCATTTATGGGATAAAGGGTCTTGGAACCCAACACAAAGGAAGAAGGGAAAACAAGGTAGATAAACATATAAATCACTTGTTCCATTTGTACACTTTTTTCACTTTTCTTAATCTTGTGTATCACTTACATGGTCTTCTGTTTCTTTCTGGTTCTGCATTTGATTTGATTAATTGCTTGGATGGAGCAGTTTACCTTGGTAAGTAGTTGCATGAAAGATTAAAACCACCCACTTCGGTCTCATTTTAGAGAGAAGCTAACATTTTTTTCTGAAAAATCCAACAGGGGCTTATGATGAAGAAGAATCTGCTGCAAGAGCTTATGATTTGGCAGCACTAAAGTACTGGGGAACATCAACTTTTACCAATTTTCCGGTATGATTATCAGACATGATGACTTGAAAGTTCTGTGCTTTTCAGAGGAATGAATGAAACTGATCAATATCTTCTAAAACTTGTTCTATATTTTACTTTTCAGGTGCCTGATTATGAGAATGAAATTGAGATAATGAACACATTATCCAAGGAAGAATATTTAGCCTCTCTGAGAAGGTAAATTTCATCTCCTGATGAGCCCCCCTCTTCAGAACTTTTCTGTAAAAAGTTTGCATCAATGATCCCATTTTGTTTTGTTTATAGAAGGAGCAGTGGCTTTTCAAGAGGTGTATCCAAATACAGAGGAGTTGCAAGGTAAACAACTTAAATATTTGACCTTCACAAGTTTAAACAATTCATTCCAAATTTCTAAGGCTGAATTGTTGTGGGAACTGCAGGCACCATCACAATGGGAGATGGGAAGCAAGGATAGGGAGAGTGTTTGGAAACAAATACCTCTACCTTGGCACTTACGGTGAGTTTCAATTCAAGCTCTTTAAATCTGTTTGCTCCTTCTGCTGCTGAGTGAGAAAACCTTATGAGGCTTCTTTCATTTCATCACAGGCACCCAGGAAGAGGCTGCCCATGCCTATGACATTGCAGCAATAGAATACAGAGGCATAAATGCAGTGACCAACTTTGACTTGAGCACATACATCAGATGGCTGAGACCAGGAGCCAATTCTCTTGGTTCTCAGGAACCAAAACTAAATACAGAGTCTCTGCTCATGCCAGCCTCCTCTAACAGCATCCCAAGCAAGGAAGGAAAGCAGATGTACCCAACTCTTTCCAAGTAGATGACGTAGACACCTCAAGAAATCGCAACAATTTCCAAAGGCAGCAGAAGCAGCCTATGCCCATCAGCCCTTGCACCAAGTCATCATCTTCCCCAACAGCACTTGGCCTCCTTCTTCAATCCTCAGTATTTAAAGAGCTGGTAGAAAAGAATTTAAATGGAGATAATGAAGAAAGTGAGAAGAATGACATAAGGAACCTTCTTCCAGTGCAGACAAACAGTGACAATCTTAAGAGGATCTTGTACAATGGAATGCACAATTACCCTTTCACTTGTCCTTCCAACACCAGTGTTTTGCCTGCTTTAGAGTCGCAGGAGGAGAGCATATTGCCCTTGTGCAATTCGAGGGGGCAGTCAATTTGGAATGGTGCCATAAACATGTTTTCTTCCCCTGACTTTAACTAAATTAACTTTAGTTTAGTTTAATTACTTGTAAGCTCCAGCTAGATCCTTCTGTTTTCTCTTCTTCTTCTTCTTCTGACTCTTAGAGGCAGTTTGATGTAAATAAATCCTAAGATTTCCATGTGATGCAGAGGCAATTGGAATAAAATAAAAAATAAAAAATAAAGGGACCAGTTCATTAGTGGTTACATTTAAACCTTATGTAGGACAAATGTAAGACCAGCCAGTTGGGTTGGGGTAAATATACGACTTCAAATCTCTTCTTCATTTTCCTTAAAATCTCTTCTTCATTTTCCTTTTTCCTGGTGAGAATGGCAAAAGAGCTTGTGCCCTAGAAAACAAATATAATGGCATACCCTTTCATAAAGAGAAAACGATATGATTCCACGGGTTCTAGTTTACTCCACTGATCACCTCTATGGTACAGAGCTTCCTTCTTCCCTTGTCGTCTGTAGGTTTCAACTTAACACTTGTTCTGCCATTCCAAAGTGGGTGGGAGATTTTTTGAGTTGAATGACTGGAAAGACTTCAGATGACAGAAACTAGAGATTTTGAAGAAAACGGGTTACCAAGAATGTATGTCATCTCCTAATTCTCAGAAGGAAAAGAAAGTAAATAATTGATTTTTATTCAAACAGAAACTGTAAAATTGATCTTTTCAACAAAGATTGAAAGTCGTATTTTTTGTTAAGTATCATCGGCTGGTACAGTAGAACTCTAGCTCCATGCGGAAATTGAAAGAAGAGAACTTATTTGGAATCTTTCATATTCGTAACCACTTTGCTTGTTCTCGGAGGAAGAAACAAAAAAATAATAATAATAAACGGTGATTTCAATTATTTCAAAAGATTGATGTCAATACCGTTTGTTTGACATTATAGGGGCATGTCTCACAATTAAGCCCACAAAATAAACTAAACATGCTATAAGCTCCACAGTAATATTTACTAAATCTCCATAATCAGAATCTTAGGAAGAAAAAAAAAAACCACGGAGAAATACAAGAAATGAAAACAACTCGGCAGTTACTGTGAGATTGTGTACATCAAACTTGGAACAACCAAACCAATTAAAGCTAAGCCATCTCATACGTATACCTACATAGACAGTGTATGGTCATCTTCTTTAGAATATTGCAATCAACACTTGGTTGAGACCGACCTGCAAAAACAACTGGGTTAAGTACAGAGATAGAGTTTATGAATGGCAGTTCCAGAATTAAGACCTATGTTAATTTGTAACTGCCACCAAGTCAGTTCATAGTGCCAAATGCAGCTATCTGGCACACAGATATGACAAGCCAAAAGAAAAAAAGCAAAGTAAAAAAGAAAAAAGAGGCATGACATAAATGGGAACCTCAGCAGAAGGCATCAGATATGCACACAAGCAGATTGGCTCCATTACAATGTTCAAGAATGATGTAAATACTAGATAAAAGAGTTCTTATTCAAACCTCAGCAGGTTTCTCGGTTTCATTCCTGGACCTTCAATATCGTCTTGCACAATAGCATCAGTTGACTTATTCAAAGTTCCAGACAAAGACTCCGCAATTTCTTTTAGACCCTGCAAGAAAGTGGCATGACTTAAATATATTTTTTGGATACATGCAAGAGTCTAAACTACTCTAAATTTATCCAATCTACAGGGAGGGGGACTCAAACTTTGGTGCAAGGGGTGGGATACAAGCGAGAGTCTAAACTACTCTAAACTAATCTAATCTATGGGGAAGGGTACTTGAACTTGGGTGCAAGGGAATGGGCTCCCTGCCCTGGCCAACTACCCTAACCCACGTTTACAATTAAGTAGCAAATATTAAGGATTTAACTATCAAGATTCCAGTTGCTGAAATAATAGTATCTGAACTAAATTAAAAAACACATATTGCAAATGAGATAGCATCAAATGGAATTACACCCTGAGAGAAATGTCATTATTAAAGACAGACAAACCTTAATATACAACATGGCCCAACCCAGCCCCATATAAATCTAAGAAATTTTGTAGGGCATGGGAAAGAAATCACAGGCCTATGATTCTCAGTAGCCTTAAGCCTCCTGCTTGCATCTTGGAAAGAAAAAATTACTTGGGAATCGCTCTAAAGGAATCCCTATTTGAGCTCTTTCTCTCCCAATCTCATGGTGTAAAATTAACTGGAAACAAAGGGAATGCAAACCTAAAGCATAACGCTCCATCAAGGCTTTACTAATTTTAGCATCTAATCGCAGTGTAATCTATAGGTTATTTTCTTTCTTTGTTCTGACAAACAATGGGCACAGATGCTTTACATGAGTCCATAATAATTAATAAATGTGAAGACCCCTGTTCCATATTTCCAACTAGGATAATGTCAGCAACCAGAAGAAAAGAGATTTTTAGAAACAAACCATCAGACTCTGAGTTTCCGAATATGTCACTAAACGACCACGTGGATTCCCAGTAAGTTTAAGTTTCGTCTGCAAGTAGAAAAATTAATTAGAGCAGTGATCATATATACAAAAAAAAAAAAAAACACTACATAAGAGACTATACTGAGGGTCTCAGTAAAAGGTAAAGAACAGAGTGAGATTAAATGATGGCAGGGGCTTATCTTTGACTATGACATGATCTTATTACTTACAGGTAACTTTGATACAATGAACATAATCTTTTCATTTTTCACAATATAAAAATATTATGAAAGTTGAAGAGTCAATAACACATTTAAATCCATACACTGACAGGTACAAACCTGCTGAGGCATTTCAACTTGTTTCCCCTCAACAAAGTTGACGAGGTAGAAAAGACCAAGATTTGAAACATCCTGCACGAGGCATTTCCATCAGTACAAACTTAAGCAGATAAATAAAGTGATGTGTGTGATCGAAATAAATGCAACAGCCACTGCCAGTACTCCAAAGCAAAGACATATCTTACTTACAAAAGTGTTACAGACTGGTGAAAGAACAGAGTTATATGCACATTAATTATGGCTTCTAATAAATACTACACTTTCTCATCAATTATTTATGGCTTCTCTATTAGAACAAAAATAAAGCTGTTTTACCTGTTTTTCTGAAATGGAACCTAGCTTGTAATCCTGCAAAAGGGAAAAGGAAGATAAGTTACTACAAATTCAAAGAAAAATTTGTCTGAGAGGGAGTGATGTAAAGGAAAATGAGTACATAAGGGGAAAGTAAAGAAACTGAGAGAGCACATGTAATGTAAAACTCTAGGAATTCCCAAAAATACCAAATTTGGCCTGCACCAATACATGTTGAAGCAGAACTCACCAAACCAGTAAGCGCGCTTTGCAACTCAGTCACGGTAACGTAGAGTTCCTCAATACTTCCTTTCGTATCACCAACCTGTTTCACAAGTTGTAACCAAATTTAGAGATGATGCCGAAAATATATTTCGTATGCTACAAGACTCCATTTACATAAAATTGGAATGCAGGATTTTAAAATACTAAATTGCATACATTTAAGACATGGCACATCACATATGGATAGTGGATACCTAACCCGCTGTGAAATTCATCCTATTAGTTTGACTTTGATAATGCCAGAAGTTTTTGCTTAGCCTCATCAAACTAGAAAATGGACAAGTATGTTTTATTTATTTCAATTTACTAATTAAGAACTAAAAGCTCATAATATGCAGAAAAGGACATACATTCTCCAGAATCGACTTTGAGATCTCTTTCTGCTCCAGCAATTTATCGTCCAAATTCTGGACTCTCTGTGTCAGGTGCTTCTTTGTGTTCTGTCCAGCATAAGAATGTTTAATACAGTCGTTTCAATTGTTTATACAAATTCTATAAGTAACATTGATGAGTTCTGTAAGTCTATTTGATTTTGGGAACATAAACAGAAACTCAAACAAAACAGGTTTTTTTTTTTGGCATAGACAGCCGAAAAGAAACTTACAGCAATAGCCTCTGTCACGCTCTCCAGATGTTTATGCAAGTTTGAAACAGCAGCAGTCATACTACGCTTCGTCACATACATAAGATCTGAGAATTTTAGACCCTAACCATTTGTGAAGAGCAAATATTAGATTATCAAAGAATAAAAACACTTTGCTTAAAGAAGAAAACAACTCACAGAACCAATGGATGAAATAATATAAACATAAATATATCATCTGGATACCTTCCACCACATGTAACCATAACCCAATGCCCCCAAGGTAGCTGCTGGCATTATTAGTGATGTCAAACCTATTAAAAAAGATCAATGAAAAAAGATAACCAATTATAAAATGTTTCTATTGCATTATGAAATACATACGTGTAAGGAATAGAAGTTTTAGAACTTAACCAAAAAGAAAGGGCAGGACCATGCATTAATTTAGTGGTTATAAGCAAGAGGAAAAAGCACAAAGCATGCTAAGAATTCATTTGAACACATAAGAGAAAGTATGATACCAATCTGGCTGCCATTCCCATTCAGGACGGTTATCTGTCGTGACGAGCCAAGTTGCCGGACCTCAGCTGCCAGTCGGCGCACCTAAAAGAAAGTAACACAGGAAAATTGATATCCATTAGAAAAAACAAAAATTTAACACGATAAAGCATCCTTCGACACTAAATTTATAGCAGTTTTTCCAATACCTGTGATGCGACCGCATCAAAGTCACCTTCTGATTGTTCTCCGGTTCCATTCAACAAAGACTGCAAACAAAACAGAAATAAACACAAATCCATCCATTTTTTCAGCAACAAGACACAAGCTCCTAAATAAATAAACTATCTAACTGATCAAAACCCTAGTTTACTAAATGCAATAAAAAATTAAAAAACTAAATGCAATAAAAAATTAAAAACTCATACAAAAATAATACCAAATAAAAATTTGCTACGAGCTCCACTAGCAAAGCAGAGTAAAAATTATGAAAATAGTACCTGAAGTTCACCGATCAAGTCAGATAATTTACCATTCTTAAGCAGGATGGTGCTAGTATACCCTGTACAGAGAGAACAATCACTCAGATCGAATACAGCTAAATACACAAGGAAACTCCAGTATGCAAGATGAAAGACGAGTGATTGGTACCTGCTCCAGCTAAGATCAGGATCTTGGAAAACCCTATTCCGCTTTGCATAGCCATGGCTGTGTTTGTTTGGACCAGAAACTCTAGGAGGGTGGGTAGGGAAGAGTGTGGATTTCGGGAAAGGAGGCTTGGGTCACGGAATTTTGGGGTAGGGCGCTCGGGGTGAAGACGACCTTTTCTAAGATACGAAACGACGACGTATCAAGAAGTACGGGAGAACCGCCTTTGACTTTATTCCACCCTCCACGACGTCGTTGCAAAGCACTCCTTTCTTGCCTCTATTTTGGTAACTTACTAATGACGATAAGATTGACCCCAAAAAAAAATGCTAATTACGAAAGTGACATAAGCTGTTAAATGACAAAATGAGCCCTCCGTGCGTGCTTTACTTGGCGCAATTTTAATTTTAATTTTTGTTTTTTTGGGTTGGAATCCTTGCCATATTAAGCTTAAACAAAATTAAAATTGATAATCATCAAGTATTCTTAAGCTTATACAAAATTAAAAATAATTACAAATGAGAGTTAAACTGGCAAAAATAATAGAACATATGAGTCAGACCAGCTAAAATAATAACATATCTAAGTCAAATCAAACCAATTAGTCAGAGTAGTGAATCCATCTATCCCGTTGCACCCGAGTTTGATTGTTCATATTCATAACTACTTAATATTTTTTCGCTTCTTTATGTTCCTTTGGTTTTTCTTTTTCATTGTCTTCTTTTGTATTATCGATTTTTATGGCGGGATGCCAGTTTAGACTTCAGACGGCTGATGCATAACCAATTTCGTTTTTTGGATTTGTCTGGTAAGGCAGAAAATTGTTCCTTGGTTCAGATTGATGACCAATCTTTCAAGAAGATACAATTTTATTAGGACATGTCCTACTATTATGCCCATTTTGTTGGCACAACTTGCACTTGTATGCTCCTCTGCGACCAGAACTGTGAAAGCCCTTCTTTATATCAACACTAGACTTTACCCCTATCAGTTGAGGGCATGTCCTGCTATTATGGCCTCTTTGACCACATATCTTGCAATGGTGATGTCTTCTAACTGGGCTTTTGTGGCTGCTCAACCTTGACTTTGGACAGGTTCTTCTGTTATGGCCTTTTTCCCCACAAACGCCACACACGAACTGCCTATTTATCAAAATACTTTTCAGTTCTGGACAGTAGTGTCTCCTATGCCCCTCACGTCCACAGTGTCTGCAATAAAATTTCACTCCTGTATCCCAGAAATGAAGCAGATCAAAGTCACGAGGAAGGAGGCAGTGTAAGGTGCAATCAAAGGGTCACATAACGTCACTAACAACGGATGGAAACGCATGGTATACAAGTTAAACTAAAACTGTCCGCAGCAGTAAACGTGCTATGAAGTATAAGAACTCACCCTTCATTGCAATGCTCCTTTTGCGACGGTTTTCTGGGTCACTAAAGAAAACTTTTAAAGCTTCAGAAGCACGCTTTCTTGCTGCAGCAGTTCCCTTGGCTTTCTGCGATGCATACAAAAAGATCATGTTGAAATTTTATTTCTAAGTTAGAAATGAAAGCTTCAACACAAACATCCTTTACCCTTCCACTTCACTTCTACATCCTAAATGAAATATCATTGATTAACTTTGTTTCATTTGTTATTTACCATATGAAAGGAAATAATAAAAAGAACAAAATATTGATTCCCTGTTCTGCTTCTTTTAAGTACTTCCTCAACCTTCCGTGCAAAAAGACAATCAAGAAGAGTAGGATTTGCGGAAGCCTTGACATTTCGGTTTGATGTTTTATCATAAGTTTTGAAAGCCCCTCGATGTAGAGACATTTTAAGTAATCTAATTAGCAACAAAGTTCCTTAGAATATATAAAACAATCACCCAAGATAGTCAATATTTTATCATATCAACAAAAATGAACAATAATCAAAGTTAAATACCCGAAGTTCCAAAAGAGTAATTAATTCCTGACCTTAATTGCAGCCACTCTTTGAGCATGAAGCATGGGATCACGATGGATGATTTTCATTCGCTTACTAAATAGACCAGTCTTGGCATTCAAACTCTGCAATCACCAAACTAGACATAGAAGATTAATTCATGATAGGGCCACTAAATATTGATGTCTTTTCCTTGAGTAGAACACTTGAAGAAAAAATATACGCAAATGCAAACTGAGCTTCAAGACAACAAAACAATACTCCTGTCATGTTTTCTACATGCAACATGTCAGGTAAGGTTGAAGCAGACAACTAACTTTTAGAGACCGGCTGATCTTCAGTCCGACTTCAGGAGGTGGTGACTGGTATACTCGCTTTGATTTTTTCTTCACATCCAGCTTTATGTCTAAATTGTCAACTTCATCATCTTCCTTCATTTTGAGAGGAGAACTGCGAGGAGGAAAATAATTAATAAAGAAAAAATGGTCTAGGATCACTCTGCATCACCAGAGAAAATATGTTCGGCAGGTACAGGGAGACCTCACTTTAACCACATAGTTTGATGTTATAAGCCTTTTTCTGTGATTTTGAATAGCACATAGATTACTTATTTCAATGCACAAAAAGTAAAGTGTTCAAGGTACCTTCTAAGATACGTGTGTGGGTTTTAAAATATGTGTGTTTAAGAGCAAGTAAATATTTAGGTTTAAAATACCACTCAGAAAAGTAGGTGAAACATGGACGAGTTACTAGTTTGATCTGAAAATCTAAAGCAACAGTACATGACCAGATAAGAAAGGCAGTGGCTAACATTTTATAAATTAGATGGCATATACAAGGCAAGGAAAAATATAAAATTTGGAAATCTAACAAAGTGTGTAAGTTAAATTGTTAAAATAGGAAGGTTAAGAACTTACATTGAGCGGGCTTTCTCCCATGGTCGTTCATCAATTGACTCTTCCCATATGACACAATCTCCCGAGCACTGACGACAAGTCATTATGCCCTGTTACCATAAGCAGAAGGTTAACAATTTAGAGTTGCCATTGAAAATCAATGCCTTATTCCTTCGTAATAAATATGCATCATAGTTACCATCTAAGGATCCCACAATCATCCAACCCAAATAAAATAATGTTTGAAACAAGATTCAACAGAAATGAACCAATTTGGGCGGGTTGTGATATTTAAGCACAATACTCTTCTTATTATTAAGTGCACATGCTTCTCATGTTTTACTGATACACAATAAACGGGAAGGGTATATACCTTCCCAACACACTGTGAACAATCTGATCTGGACCTTTCTATACCACATTCTGAACAGGGAGTATAGCCCCTCCCTCGGCAACTTGGGCAAGGTAGCTCTCTGATATACTGCCCATTTGGACCGAACCAGGATCTTGGTTTGCGTGCACCCAAAGTAGCATTCCTAAAATTAATAAAGCTATATTAGGAAAACATGAGAAGCATAGATGCAGACAGAAAATCCAATAAAATCCAACCGCGAAAAATAAAATTCATCTAATGTATCAAAAAAAAGAGCATTGATGCAGATAGAAAATGCTAAAAACTGCAAAATCAAAGATTGAGTAGGTCACTGAAGAAGAAAGCAGGCAACTTTAACCGTTCGCACAGATGCTGCATATAATCTTTAGCTGAAAACAATGCCTAGTTGTACTTTAGCCCCCAATTAGCATATATTAGGCCAACAATATCCAAAACCCATGTACTGTAAGCAATAATAAACGATGAAAATCCATGATTAAAAGAATTAAAAATGAAATGCTATACATAAACAAATGAAAGCTTAGGACTTCGAAAAGTGATAGACTCGCCTTGGCTTTATATTGGCCTCGAGCCCGAACAAGTCCTCAGAATGATCATAACCCAACTGCCATTACAATCCCAAAATACCAACAATCAAACCAAATGCAATCAGATTTTCCACAAAAGTTAAGAGTTTGAGAGAGAGAGAGAGAGAGAGAGAGAGAGAGAGTGAGTGCCTGTGTTGCTTTGGGAGCTGAAACAGAGTCGTTGTTGGTTGAAGAGGAAGTGATTCTGGGCACGAAGCTGCTGCTACTACAAGCCCTTCTCTTTGAGTGAAGGAAGAGCAAGAAGCGCACGCTCTTCTCCCTCCATTGCGGCGCAAGTCCGAAGCAGCACAGCGACGACATTTGACATGAAAAAAGCTCAAGACTTTGCAGCCTTTGTTGCTATAGTACTGACATCTCACGGGTGGCTGAAAAAGAGACAAGGGGACGCGCCATTTCACTCCCGAGGTCCACGTGGCACGATATGAGCCCATGAGTTAATGGGCTTGGGCCAAAACTTAAAAACAAAAAACGTCAGCGGTCGGTCCATATCTGGCCCGCCATCGATTAAAGCATAGGAGCCGGGAAGAAACGGTGACAGAAAGAGAGAGAGAGAGAGAGAGGAGTGTTAAGGATGCTGAGACTACACTCGCTATCTTCACCGGCGGTGGCTGCACAAAACCCTAAACAGTGCCTTGCTTCGGAGCTTTCAAGCAGAGCTAGGGTTTTCAGCACCAACAGCTTTGGCTTTGCTCCGAGTTTGAGCTCGTCGAGGAAGAGGCTCTCCTTGAAATGTCGCCAGTCTGAGTACTTCGACCAGCAGAGGGCCAGTACCGCCTCTGCCCCTAACAAACCGTCTCCTCCTGCTCCACAAACTCCCGCAGGAGGTACCTTTCTCTGTTCTTACTATTTTATCTGTTTGGTGTTGTAGAAAGTTGCTTCAAAATTGGATATAGTTAAGGAACTGTTAGGTTACTGATTTATGAGCAAATGACGAATGAGAAAGTTTACACCTTTTCCACTTGATTCAGTTCTGTATATCCATATGGCCTGCTTAGGTCCATGAAGTACAGGGTCGAATTCGAACATGTTAAACTTAATTTTCCCTGCCACCAAACAAGGGGTTTGAGTGGTTAAAGCTTGCAAAATGCTGGATTAATGTAAAGAGATTTAACTAGAATTTATTTGTTTTTGCTGTGATTAATAGATGTGTTGGTTTGGTTTGCCTGTGTAGGAACTGGGTTGCCGCCTAGGTTTTTTGTGGGTCACTCAATATACAAAGGAAAGGCAGCTCTTACCGTAGAGCCCAAAGCTCCGGAGTTCACAGCTTTAGATGTATGTTTGGTTTGACTGATGCTTCATTTTGTTTTTTGTAAGACTATGGTTCTTGGGCCATATTTGGACTTTTCAACATGAACTGTGATTATGTTGTGGAAGTTCTAATTGCTTGTTATTGTGATGGTCTGGTGTCTTGGGTAGTCAGGGGCATTCAAACTCTCCAGGGAAGGCTTTGTTCTACTTCAGTTTGCTCCAGCAGCAGGTGTTCGTGTATATGATTGGAGCAGAAAGCAGGTGATCCATGCTACTCTTGTTACTATGAATACTGAACAATGTATGGATTTACAAGAAATTTGAGAATTAAAAACTTTTAGTAAATGACAATGGTCAAATGTTTACTTTGAATCACCTGTATTTTCAAATTGCGGGATCCTGTAACTGTGATTGTTCACTTGTCATTTCATAATACTTCTGTTATAAAACATTGAGGTGTATGGTTACTACTTGCCATTAATAAAACTTTATGGTAACTGTGTGTGGTTACCACTTATCATAATTGGAATTATGATGATTGCTAACATATCCAAAGTGACAATTTGGTTTGTGTAGGTATTCTCACTATCAGTGACAGAAATCGGAAGCCTGGTTTGCCTTGGCTCGAAGGAGTCCATTGAATTCTTCCATGATCCTTTTAAGGGGAAAAGGTACCATGCTAATTCTCTCTACTTCAATGTTTAATGGAGAGTGGAAATTTGAACTCCTTCACTCTCCCTTTTTTTGCCTTACCATGGATGTCTGTAAAACTGATGGTGTTGCCTGTGTTGTATTGTTTGTATAATGGATTTCTAATATCATTATTGAGATATCTAGACAACCAAAAAGGTTCAATTTTGTGATTCATTGTGACTGCAATAAGCTTGGTACCCTCACGATATGTGTCTGATGTCCATGTATGTAGATACACATGATCATATTTCCGTGCATCTTGTACATGTTTCAGTGAACCTGGTTAATTAGAAGATTAAATAATGTAAGTAATAAATTATGTAGAAAACTGTTTTGTTTTGCAGTGACGAAGGCAAGGTCAGGAAGGTGTTGAAGGTGGAGCCTCTTCCAGACGGATCTGGGCATTTCTTTAACCTCAGTAATCCACTTATTCCTTGAAAGCTTAGTGGTGAACATTACAATAATCTTCGCCTTATTATGCCATACTAAGTGATTTAATGCAGTGATTTTTTTCAATTTTCAATCAATGTTTTGAGTATGGTTATTTATTGTCCGTACGTTGATGCTTTAGACAAAATTTCCCATTTATTCCTCAAGCGATTTCAGTCGTGACTAACAATGGATATGCTCATGGAAGAATTTAGGTGCCGTATGTAAGCCATTTACTTTACTTATTGTATGGCAGTCATGTTTTTAACATATATTCTGTTTCTGTTATCATTATGGCATTGTTCAAGGTGTTCAAAACAAGCTTATCAACTTGGATGAGAGCGTTTATATTCCTATCACCAGAGCAGAGTTTGCAGTTCTCAAATCAGCTTTCAATGTATGATCTCTCTCCCCCTTCTCACACATCCACCGACCCAAATTATTTCCTTGTATAGAAGATACATGGATTTCCTGAATTCTTACTGGTTAGGACTCATATCTTTCTGTTCTTTGCAGTTTATCCTGCCGTACATTTTAGGTTGGCATGCCTATGCAAACTCCATAAAACCAGAAGATTCAAGCCGTATGAATAACTCTAGTTCTAGATATGGAGGAGATTTTGAATGGAGCCGGTAGTGGACATTGAGGGAACTCTTAACTGCAAATGATGTTCTTTTGATCTTAATCATTTGTGTTGTATCTGTTCTGTTATTAAACGAGTCCTCAAATTTTGGCTATTCGTTATGGAAAATTTAGTGCAGATTGAAGAATGAAATGGCTGACCCTGTTCTTTTCTCCCATCCAATAGGCTTACATTTCATCTTATCTTTTTGAGTCCTGAGGGTCAATGCCCAAAACTTTATGGCATCATTTTTCATCGCCATATAGCCAAAAATAGGTGACCCTGTTCTTTTTTCCCTCACAATTCTCATTTTTGCACGAGATTTTCATTTTAATTCTCATTTTACAGTGGACCGACCCAAATTATTATTATTATTTTTTTTTTTCCTTCTCTCTTTTAACAGTGGAAAGTTAAAATTTCCGAATTCTCATATTAACTTTTCAAATATTATTACCTTTATGTTAACTATGTGTTACAAGAGATGGTATTTTACGAATTTAAAATGTTAATCTCTCTCCCTCTCTATAGTCTATCATTTTTACTATAAAAAAATATTAAGCTAATTGCTAAGTTTTGCATTGCCCATTAATAATAATTTTTGGATTCAACACATTGAAATGTCACAAATAAATTAGTAACGAATGAATGAATAATTAAACAATGGACACGTTTGTATCCATGAAGCTTCTTTGTATCTATGCAACATGTATGTTATAATTTCTAGCAGGAAATGGTTGGTACTTAGGCCTTGTTTGGAATTGTTTTTTTTTGCCAAAAATTTGTTTCACTTTAAAGTTAAGCAGTTCAAGGTATTTGGTAAAAATAAAATATCCTGATTATTTTAAAAGCAGCGGCATTTTGAAAACAGCTTTTAAAAGTAGACTCTTGGTTGCTTTTCAAAGCTGATTTCAAAAGAAGCAGAGATGAACATTTGAGGAATTTTTTTAATTCCCAAAATACCATAATTGACACCACCTCCACTTCCACATCCAACTCCACCATTTGCACTACCACATTCACTACCTCCACAACCACCGCCACAACCACCGCCACCTCCACCTCCACCTCCACCTCCTCCACCACCACCACCACTACCGCTACCACCATCACCACCACCACTACCACTACTATCACCACCACCACCACTACCACTACTATCACCACCACCACTACCACCACCTCCTCCAAAACCTCCACATCCACCACCACCTCCACAACCAACAACACCACCACCTCCATGTTGCCACTGCCACCACCATCACCACCACCACCACCACCACTACCACAACCACCAACCCACCTTCATCACCACCACCACCTCCACTCCATCACTACTAATACCACAACATGATTAGTACATAACACTTTCAACATCATATCTATTTTAGTTATTATTTACAGTTACAATAATTTTATATTAAAATTTACCAAACGGTTTTGACACTGCTTTTTGTACTAATAGCACTTTAAAAATATTGTTTACCAAACATACAGCTAATTATTTTCAAAGTACAGTGAAAGCAACTTTTTTTAAAAGTGCAGCAATCCCAAACTATGCCCTAGTTATCTTATTAGTTGATATTCTAATAATTTTACTTATTGGCTGTATTCTTGTGCATGATCTAACTCGATTGACTAATATATTGTTTTAAACTATTATACTGCTGCACAAAACGTCATGCAATTATTAATATTTCATTACACAAATAAGACAAACTTCTTGGTCGCTTTTTATTTTAATCCTATGGCTAAACTACTTTATTTTTAAATATCTGCAAAAAAAAATATTTATCATAAAATAATATTTGCAGAAATGCTTACAACCCAGGTTGCAAAGTGCAGTCGTCCCCTGCATTTTTAGTCCAACTGGAAAATACTTTCATATTCTAATTAACAAGTTTTTGTCATAATTATGTCCAAGGTTTTTAAAATTCATAAGAAGTTAAAATTCAACATTAATTAATTCAGTAACTTCCACATAACATGAGAATTTTTTATTATTTACTATTTAATTTTTAAATCTTTTTTTAACTATATGTGAGGGATTTGAGAATTTTAAAGATTTAATTTGTAATGCCATTTAATTAAATAAATGATTCGATTCAATTATAATGGTTGGAAAAATTGCTTTATTTGAGCATTTGAAGGGCGTTGACTGGCATGAAAATATATAGACCAATTTCATCATATAATCTGAGCTTTGGCTTAAAGTAAACTTATGGAAGTTTGCTGGATTAGGATTTGTCTTTTTTTAAAATAAAAAAAATAGAAATTTTAGGATTGCATTCATGATTCAACCAAAAAAGTCACTAGCCACAAATGGCCAATACAAACTAGCTACAAAGGGCCATTACAATAATAGAGCAGTCTAACATCAAAATTAAGACAATTTGGTGCACATCCACTAGCGATCAAGCAGAATCGAAGAAACTCTGGTATAAACATCCCAACTAAAATTGCAAAACTCATAATAATAAAAAAGATATAAAGCTTGAAAAAACTAAGACATATAACAATACAAATAAACACATATGAAATTGGTGGTCCTTAATTAAACACATAAAATTGCATTTAGCAAATTGCTACAACTAATCATATTATATTATACGTGAGGAGGTCAATCTATTAATTTATTAAATGCCTAGTTAGATAAGTTTAATTAGTTTTTGTTTAGACACTTGAATCAGCATCCATTGACCTAGGTTTATATAATAAAGACCAGTTGGTTTTTTTTTTACTAAGAATCTTAATTATATACAAAAAGTTTTGAAAGGTTTTTTATAAGTGAGTGGCTTCCTAATCATGTGCCTGTGAACCATCAAACCGTTGGGTTGAGCTGTCAACATGTACAAAAACCCTTGACCCTAATTATAGTTGTTAATTTTCTTAGCTAGATTTTGTAAGCATGTTTATTAGAGTACTAAACGGATTATACGATAAGATCATTGCTTATGATGTGTAACAAGTTAGAATTAATTAAGTTTTCACCAATAGCCTATGATCTGGACGTTGAATTTGAACAAGTTGTTTAAGTTGATTTGCATCTGCTGATTGCTGAAATTAAAATCTGTAAATATATTATGTATACTAGCTAAGACCAGCTGGCTGCTGAACATTAATTTCCTAAATTTTGTCCTTAGTTTTTACTTTTGTCTTATGCGAGAGATTATAGGATAATATGGTAGTACGATCGTGTGCTATAACTTGTCTATGTGTTATAATATAAATGGATATATTATATGTATTGATATTATTCTCTAAAAGTGAGAAATATTAATCATGTCGTCCACCCACATATGTATAAATTATACTACATGACTATACTACCATGTACCATACTATTCTATAATTGCTGAAAGCTACAAGTTTGAACTATTCATAAGTCTTAATAATTCCACTAAATTTTCCTTAATTATCATTATCTACACGTAATGGTACTCTACGTTTCCAAAAAATTTCCTATAGATTAAGAGAAGAGTCTCAGGGTACCTTATTAAGATAATTATCTTTAAAAATTTTCTTGTGGCCGCCGGCCCACTTTTTAATTAATGAACCACTTAATTTATTTCACCCGATGATTTCAGTTTCACGCTCTAAGAATTGGCCGTATACCGTAGTGTACTCTCTCTCTCTCTCTCTCTCTCTCTCTCTCTCTATATATATATATATATATATATTGCTCAAAGGCTTCAAGCAATTTACCTCCAAATAATTCGTCTATAATTAGAATTTGGAGGATATGAGATTGTGACACTGACAATGCAGGAGGGCGATGGATACATGACTCAGAAAATTTTACAGAGTTCGGTCGAATTAAGCTCTTTCTTTCACCAATTGACCTTACTGGGCAAGGCAAAGATCAATGTCTTTGTCAATTCAAATAATCTATTCAAATGGAGTTGTAAAAGACTGATCTTTATGCTCAAAGCTTATCTAAGTGATGCCAGTTACTATGAAGAATCAATATATTTTTTTAATTAACTATACTTTTATAACGAGTTAATGTATTTACAATAAAATTAAGCTATTACAATACAATTATTTATAACTAAGTAAGTATCAAACTTAACTCACCACAAATATATATATATATATTTGGTCATTCTCTTAATTATATATATATATATATATATATATCGTCATTCTCTAATTAAGTGAAAACAACTACTACTAAACCAAATATGAAATCAGTGAATTTGGTTAGCGATGTAATAAATGATATCATATTTGCTCCAAAAAAACAATATTGAAAAGATTAATTGGTTTGAACTTTCATCATATAGCAAGGACTTCTTCTTCTTCTTCTTCTTTTATTTTATTTTTTACAATAGGGACTTCAATATTTAAGTAAAGAAATAACTATAAGACAGAAAACAAAAATGGTTGAAGCTTCATGTATTTATGCTTCAACTTCAAGACATGTTCATCATTTATGTTAAAATGTCATTAATTCTTAATATCATATGCTCCAAGTTGCCAACAATTTCTCTAAGTATATATACGACAACTGTGGCTTTCGAAAGGTCAGAATTAAGTTTCATTATTTTATTTTTTTGGTTATAGAAATATGGTTTTAATTGATGCAACCCAAGTTATTGATGTTAATAAGGATTAGTTAAATTCATTATACGATGACAAGGTTTTTCCCATTTTCTTTTGTTTGCTTTAACGTACCTTTGTCGACCTCTATATGCTCTTAGCAGTCACTAGTCATATATTCTGTAGAAAATATATTTATGAAGATATACTTTTATAACGAGTAGACACAGAATCAAACCCCATATTTCACCATGAATAACTGGCTTGCCATTTTGAATTTGACAACCAAAGTGGTGCAATTTGACAGGTTTTTGAAAATTGTCACTTATTCTCAACAACAACAAAAAAGAACATTATTATCACGTAGAATGACAAATGTTAACACATACCTACAGGCTGCATATAGAAAATTCTAACACAATAGTCCACCACCCTTATTTTTTTAAAAAATTGTGACGTACATTTGTTTAAAAAAAATAGAAAATAAGCGTCCCCTCTGGTTTCTGAAAAACCCTCAAGAATGAGACAACAATGGTGTTTTTTTATAAATAAAATAGAAAAGATAAAAAATTACACCGAAAAGGCACCGAAAATCTGAAGGACCTATGAGATTTGAGAGGGGGGTGAAGGAAG